GCAGGGGGGTTGGACTCGATAACCTCTGAGGTCCCTTCTTACCTTCGACATTCTATGATAACTGAGGTTTTGCTTTTGAAATAAATTATTTCAGTTTGCTCCTATAATGCATTCAGTGTTTCTTAWCAGAGGAAATGCATGATGAAGAAAGGCTAGGGAAGACAGGCTACAGCAATCTACTAGTTAATATGATGCTTGTGAGATTAAATAATCAGACATTTGTTCCCAACTACTTTTTAAAATTATCCCTGCAAGCCAGCAATCTTCCTATAAACCTCAGAGCAGAAATAGATCGTCAGCATAGATTTGATGCTGAAGTGGATAACTGTGCTGCAGATGAGCTTGGTAGGAATGCTTCATGCACAGAGCAGAGTGCAATGTGCAGGGGTGGTGCAGTGCTCAGCTGCACACATGAAGGCTTGCCGTGGAGTGTGAAACTGGCATCTCTGACACGGCAGATGGAGCACGGGGGTTGAGAAATATGAAAGGGCAGGTAGGATAGGCAGTAGTCAGCAATGCTTTCCAGGTATTTAAATTTTTTAATGTATTTGTAAACACATGAGTGATGCAAATTAAGGGAAACCATTCAGGGTTTAATTAATTTGATATTTAAGGTCTCAGTCCTGCCAGTAACTACATTTGTGCCTGAAGGCGCATCTTCATGAATTATTTTGAAGGACTGGAATCTGAAACACTAATGGGAAATAAAAGCAAGAGAGCTTTTGGAAGCACAGAATATTTTATGACATACTGCAAGCAACTKAGGTCCTCGTATAGACAGTACAGCACCAGGGAATCAATAGAGATTTGTCCTTGACTGATTAAATAATTCTGTGGCAACCCCACAGATATTTGTTCCATTATTATCTGGAGATTTGAAAGAGTTTTTGCAGGATGAACTTTTGTTCTCTCTTGTAATTTATAATATTCAGCTTTTCTATTGTCAGGAAACTGGATAAATGTATAAGAGACTGGATTTTACTAGTTTACTGTGTTTTACTTTGATTTTCTAYCCAATAATGTTTCAGATAACCATCCAATCATACATTTGTTTCCATAAAAAAAACCATACTAAAATAGTGTTTTATCTGTTTTGTCCAGAAAATCGTTAGAATATATTTATAAAAAAATACAATGCMATAAAATAAAGCTATTCACTATCTCTACCAGAAGTAGTCCCCTAACCTGTACCTTTCTCTTGAGAAAAAGGTTAAATATGATTTGGGGAAAATTATCTTGAGGATTGAGGTGCAGAAGACCTGTATTTTTATATTCAAGTGGTTTATGAGAGAGGATGGGAAAAGATTGCTACCATGATATGCTTAGGCTGCAGAGAGGTTCAGGCTGCTGGGATGCCTTATGCTCTATCAAGCTTGGCTTCAAAATCTGAGGTAGTGTTGTGGTGATAGCCTCATTAGATAAGCCAAAGTTAATTTATCAGAAAATAGCACTGGCTAAAAGATGGCACTGCTTCTTGCTCATACCTCTTGCAGTGCTTACTGCATTATTTGATAATGCTAGGTCATGTTAAGAAAAAGACATGTACAAAGTACATAAAGTTACAAACAAAGAATATTTTCCAGAGTTATCTCCACACACGGTTAAGGAATGGAAACAAAAAACTTTTCCTTTAGTTGCTTCTTTTCTGTTCAGTCAAGTATGACAAAACATCATTTGAACTTACTTAAAAGTATGGTCATTCATAAGCAGTAAAAGGTGGTATTTTATGTAAGGACACACTTCCTTCAGTATCTGTCAGTGGTCACTCATTGAATGGGCTCCTTGGACCTTTGCTTCAAACCTTTACAGTCTGTCCTGCCAATATACTGAATGTTATTGTTCCATGACTGTAGCCAAAATGTGGAAATAAAATGTGGACTTCTTCAGTGCTTTAAATATAAAATCTTTAGATTAGAGCCTCCCAGTACTCCAAGCATAGCAGTAGTGTTTGGTACTGAATTAATCCATGACAGAATGCTTATTTGTAATATATTAAGTATTTTATTTGTTAAAAAATTACAAATGATAGTTTTTAAATTTAAATACAATGATTTATTTTCTCAAAAAAGGTAGAGGATTTGATGGAAGATGCCTTCTATGAATTCAAAATTGCTGCTGCAAATCTGGTTGGCATAGGTCAACCTTCAGATCCCAGTGAACATTTTAAGTGTAAAGCCTGGACTATGCCAGAACCTGGTAAGTCTACTGATTTCTCATGAGTCTCAATTTAATATAAACTCTTTGTAGCACAGTCAGCGTAGTGTTCCAGTCAAGCTCTGATGTATGTCTTTTGGTTCCCACATAAGAAAGATAAACTCTAGTCTACCTAATGTGAGTATATAATTTTTGCCTAAATGTAAGGTATCTAGGGAATTGTTTCTCCTCAGTATTGCTTGGGTTCTGCAGATAACCTGTGAAGGTGTCTTTGTCAGCCTCTCTATTTGTAATACCCTCACACATATTGACTGACACTTTTGCTGGAGCTATTTGTAATATCTGGTACTGATTTGCCTAAAACTGAGGGTGTCACAGAACAGTCAGTAAGGAAAACACTAGTATGATACATTCCTACCTCCTTTTCCCCCCAAAGCTCTGAAAATATTGCCTTGTTCTTTGTGTTGTTAACTCAAAATCTCTTTATAATCTACCGCTATGTATGCAATTAAATATCCTTCAATACCTATTTTGGTCATCAGGAGTTGTCTGACACCTACACACATCTGTGTCATGCATGAATATTCACATGTTTAGGAACCTTAGAGTTCAGAAGTTTTTCCAGGATTCCTGAATCTTTCTTGCTGCAATTTAAGCCTGTTTACTTTGTGTTTTTCTTTTTTTTCTTTCTGTTCACCATGAACATGGAAAAAAGGTTGGTCCTTTCTTCTTTGCAACAACCTTTCTACATAGYTTGAGTGCTGAATCAAACTCCCAGCTTTCCCCTTGAGTTAACAAAATCCAATTCCTGCAGCCCTTCTGCATGCAACATGAATTCCAGGTCTCTAAATAAGACATATTCTTTCTTTACTTTGAACTTTTTATTTTACTTTCCTTTGAATTCACATGTTAGAATATGAATTTTTCATATTCTTCTTGAATGACAGCACATAAACTTGACACATTTTTCCAAGAGTTATCAATGCTGATCAGAGAAGTGATCTACAGGTCCACACAGGTCTTCAAGTAATGCCTCCTTATAAACCCATTTCAATTTACCTTCTTTAAAAAGATCACTAAGACTCAAAAGTTCAAAGTCTGCTTCTTTTTAATGCCCAGATTCTTTTTGGCAAAACTGCTCCTTTTGCATTGGTCAGTTGGTTGTTCTCCACACTTTCACACCAATTCTTCTCTCAGTTTTTAGATCTTACATTTTGGATTTAATGACATGTCAAAACTGTCATAAAAAAGCAAAAAGCTTAATTTCCTGMATTTAATCTTCTTGGTGCTAATTATATTTTCTTATCATTTTGAAATATTTAATATAAATATGTCATCAGTGGAACAATTATTCTTCTAAAATAATCAAATTTGTCTGTGATTTATACTCTCTACAGTGTTTTCACAATATCAGTGGAATTGCTTTTTGTGTAAACTGGTGAACATTATCTTTCATTTTAAATGAAAGAAATAAAATAAAAGGCACTTTCAGGAAATGGAGTGAAATTTCCATTTTCATAGTGAACAAGGTGACCCTTTTACTCCTTCGCTGATTACATTGTTCTCTTTACGGAGCTCTCTGAAGAGGGAGGACTGCATTCTTCCTGCTTAAAAAAAAGTCAAGCCCCAAACTCAAAGCACCACAAACAAACAAACAAACAAATAAACAAACAAAATACACCTGAACTTGCTATATTGAATATAGCAAGTGAATATATTTTCCAGGACTTTCTTAGAATAAGTTTTAGAAAATGACTAAGCAATAATGAAAAGAAATAAATGAGGCTTAAGATTGAAAGAAGGAGGCTGATCTTTTTTTTGACTTATTAATGATAATGAAGACAAATGTAATGTGACTGCATATACTCCCAGTGCCAACGAAATATTCATCCACATTTTGATATGAAAGGGAGGTTTTCTTAGAAAAACTAAAATGCCTGGCAAGATTTCCAAATTGAGTGATAGATTCTTTGCCCAGAACCCATTACTATTTCATCCCTCTTCAGAACTTCGGTCTTGGCTATAAATGTGAGTTTCTKTGAGTTAACAATGATAGCTAATGAATTATTTTACATGACTTAAAAAAAAATGAAGCATCCCTGGTCTTGGTATTCCTAGAATAGAACATACTTCATTACAGATTTTCTTCTTACAATATATATTTCTAGCAGATGCATCCATCAGAGGAAATTTAATTATCTGTGAATATATAGATATTTGGGTTGGGATTATTAAAGAGCCCTGAGAGAAGGCTTAGGCTTCTTGAAAACTTGTTTTTTTTCCATGAAAAAGTCTAGTATATATCCTCAAAGGAACTGCAACAGGTACCCATACCCATATGTTTGTTTTCTGAAATATAATTATCCATTATGGAGAAATATTTCTCTGCTTTGCATCTTTTTTTTTTTTTTTTTTTTTTTTATTTACGGAATCCCAGCCCTACTAGTATTTCCAGTGCATTCAACTTCAGTTAACACTCTATAGACTGTAATAGCGACCCAGCTTTTTAAACCTGTCTACTTTTAAATTGATGAGAAAAGGATGTAGGGAAAAGTAATATCTGGAATTAGACCAAGCTCTCATCACTGAAAAAAAATCCCTAAGTCTCAGGTACTGCCATTTTTTTTAATACAAATTTAAAGCACAAGAAGCAAGCTTCCAGCTACATTACTTGCCTGAATAGCAGTATTCTGTCATGGATGTTGTCACCATGGTAGAAAATTGGTACAATTATGCCTTTTATGTGCTGATACAAGGGAATAACATCTCTTGTACGAGGAGAGACTGAATGAGTTGGGTCCGTTTTCCCTGGAGAAGAGAAGGTTGAGAGGGGATCTGATTAACATGTACAATAATAATATTCACCTATAGTGTGAATGTAGGGAGGAAGGGGCCAARCTCTTCTCWGTGGTGACCAGTGACAGGACAAGGGGCAATGGGTGTAAGTTGAAACACAGAAGTTTCGTCTCCAGGTGAGGAAGAACCTCTTTCCTGTGAGGGTGACAGAGCCCTGGAACAGGCTGCCCAGGGAGGTTGTGGAGTCTCCTTCTCTGGAGATCTTCAAAACCTGCCTGGATGCCRYCCTGTGCCCCGTGCTCTGGGTGGCCCTGTTTGATCAGTGGGGTTGGACTAGATGACCTCTGGAAGTCCCTTCCAATCTTAACCATTTTCCACATGCATATTTTCCTTATAATGAACTTGCTGAAATCTGGCTAACTATGTAGGCTTTGGAATACTAATATTACTTCTGCAGAAAACAAGTATTGTTGCACACAGCCACAGTGAGATGATGACCTAAATACTACTTATGTCATGTTTATTGTGAAGAAGGAGATACTGGAAAACAAAGATAGCTCCTCAAAGAGACARATATTACCCTCTACAAGGCCAGTTTGCAGAACTTTATTATATTGCAGTAAACTCTCAATACTTGAAATATTTTAGGTCCTGCCTATGATCTCACAATTTGTGAAGTTAGAAATACGTCACTGGTTCTTCTGTGGAAAGCTCCAGTGTATGAAGGCCAAAGCCCCATTACTGGGTATTTTGTGGACTATAAAGAAGTAGATACAGAAGACTGGATCACAGCTAATGAAAAAACAACTTCACATCGCTATCTTAAGGTAACATTTTTAGTACAATTAGTGTTAATTCAAAATTAATTTCTAAGAACATTGGTTTGAATACAACAAAGATATATTTGAACATGGACTTCTGCTAACATGTTTGTATGACCAAAGAATACAGGTTTAGAATTTTCTTTTAAAGTGACTTTTCTCTTTTATCTTTTTCAAGGTCACTGATTTACACAAAGGTCATACTTATGTTTTCAAAGTTCGTGCAGTGAATGAGGCTGGCATAGGCAAGTCATCTGAGGTGTCTGAACCAGTGCTTGTTGAGACAAGACCAGGTAACGAAATAACTATTTACTTTCCCCAGTTCTTTTAGAATACTAAAGTACATAAAAGTGGATTTAATCAGTCTGAGTCAGTATTATAGCCCCAGAAATGCATTTCCAAAGTCCATTTTTTTTAAGGAAAAAATGTGGATACAGAAATACTATCAAGTGTTTGTGTTTTATTTACTGAAGGGAATGTCTTAATAATCAATTGCTTGAGTTGTTCTTCTCATAAACAAAGATACTTCTTACTGCAGATGAAAATAAGCACAAGTTGACAAATGTATTAAAGAATGAAAACAAAAATAACTTAAATATGTTTATCTTCTCATTTGCAGTTTCATTCTATAGTTTTGTTCCTCAATGAGCACTCGTTGTTTGTAGTCTTCCTTTCTTGTTCGTATGTGACATACACACATGCTCRAACATATGCAAGTAAGATCAATATCTGTTAATGAAGAAGAATAGAGTTAGCATAGGCTTTATTCATTTGTGAATTACTGCTCTGAAGAAAAACAGAGCTTTGACATGATTTGATTCCTGTTTTACAGGAACAAAGGAAATATTTTCAGGTGTGGATGATGAGGGTAATATTTATCTGGCTTTTGACTGCAAAGAGGCTACTGATGCATCTCATTTTGTATGGGGTAAATCCTATGAAGAGATTGATGATCACGATAAGTTTAAGATTGAAACTGAAGGAAATCAGTAAGTAATACAAGTCTATGTCAAAATGTTAAAAGTTTGTCCTGATAAAATCTCAATAAAATAGAGGGAAAAATACTCATTATATATTCATTTATTGATGATTTCAGTTCTAAGCTGTACTTCAAAAATCCTGATAAATCAGACTTGGGAACTTATTCTATCTCAGTAAGTGACACAGACGGGATTTCATCGAGCTTTGTTATGGATGAAGAAGGTAAGGTCCTAAATGTCTCAAATCCTTCTTTTAACACCTGAATTGCATTAAGCTTTGTACAAGAAAAGCACTTAATTCTCACATTTTCTCCTATGCATGAAGGAAAAACAGCATCTCCACCAAAACAACATATTTAATAGGATTAGCTATTTTTCTGATTATCAAAATAATTAATGTTGGAATAGTTTAAGGCAATCTTTTGTTTAAATTAAGTAAAAAATATGCCAATTATTACTGTTTATTTAAGCTAGGAGTTCAATAGTGCTTGCAAAGATCTGTTTCACTTTCAGTAGAAACGAGTTATATGTCTCAGGATGTTAGCTTTTCACCATTTTGAGAACCTTTGTCTAATATGTCACTTGGACTTTCTAGCCTTTCACATATGTCTTAAAAAATTAAAATAATTGTCTCTCTGTTAGTAGTAAACTGACCATCAAACATCTGCGCCTATTCAAGAAAATGTATATAATATAAAAATACAGAGACAGTGTAGAGACAGACTTTGAAGCTCTAGATATAGAAGCATCTCATTGAAACAGGATTGATGAGAAAAAGGAGGTTGCTTAAAGAATATACAAATATATTGCCTTAACTAATCCATTTATATAAATTTAGATTTGTTTTGCTTTATTTCATAAAAGCTATTAGTTTCATTTGACTTGTTTCAATTTGATTTTGATTTACTGCATAGAGAGACTGAGGGAAAAGCAAGGCTGCAAGAATTTCCTTTCTTTTTGCAAAAATGACTCTGGTACTTGCAATTCCTGATCCATGGGGATTGATGGTGATGATTCATGCCCAGTTCCTGATCTACACCCACTTCAGCCTAGTTAGTTTTACTTATGCTAACAACAGCCAGAAATAGTAATAGGGACAAACACCTAGGAAGTTGCCCATTTTAGAAAGCTGGGAAATGGCAGGGGAGTACATTAAGCATTTACTCATTGGGTGACCTCATGGAGTTTAATATTGACTCTAGGAACTGCTACAGACAATTGGCTTATTTCACAGCCCTTTTTACAAGAAAATATTACATACAATTTAACATTGCTTTCTGGTATGGAAAACAGCGAAAAAGGGAGCAGAGCCTTTCACAATTCAGGCTAAGGTGCTCTTTTTAGTATTCCCTCTCACTTGCACAAGGGAATCAAAAGGGCTTTAACTACCAAATTAAATTTGTCATTTAACAACTGAAGTTTTATCTTCATCTTATCTTAAAAACCTCTACACCTTAAAGCAACCCCTGACTGTTTCCAGAAGCAAGTAAGGCAAGTCTTATATTGTGCAGTTTTTAAATTGTGCCATAAAGGCTGCTGATGGTTCTTTGGATCCTTGTAATTCCTTGTAATAAAAGATAGAAAGGACCAGATCCACCACTAGCACAGCCAATGGGAGTTTAGCTCCAAAATAAGCATGACAATTTCTCCAGCTACATTCTGACTCATTTAAGGAGAGGAGATGAGTCTGAGTTTGAGTCTGATCAGTATGTAGGAATTTTATCACAGGGTGAATTGCATCAATTTTTTCAGGAAAAGTAGGTGGCAAGAAGAGTGCTATATGGACTTAGTCATTGGTATTTGCTTCTTCCCTGGAAGCTAAACATGTAATGCTTTTAATTTATGAATTAGTACTTTTGGAATGAACAGAGAAACATTTAGTCATGAGAACTTCTCTTTGGCTTAGTGCTCAGGTATCTCTTTGAAACCTGTCTTGTCACCTTTAGTTCAACCATACAAACTTTTTCTGTACAAGGGCATTGATGGTGTTTCCCATTCCACAGTTAGGTCATGTCTTTCCTATCCACATCTGCCAATCAGAATCATAGTTGTATTGCTAGGGACACCTCCACAAATGTCAAATTTGAATCTTGGTACTGAAAACTACTGTTTCCTAGACCACTTTGCCAAATGTATTTTCTTTTCCTAAATACAATAAATGATGTCATAAATTCTTGGTAATTTCTTCTTACATTATCTGTGAATTTGGAATTGGACATTAGGCCCTTCTGAATCTTGATTAACAATAAATATGACAAATAGGATTAGTACAAAAACCTAAAAGTGTGATTTTTAGGCTCTCACACAGCCATCATTAAGTTTTAGTGCATTAAATAAAACTTTTTGTGCTTTTTTTATACTAACCTGCACTCAATCTTGTTAGCTATCACAGTAAAACAAGTGTTTCAAATATTGTGTCAAAAAGGAGATCAGCAGATAAAAAAGCCTCGGAGACTATGTAGAAGCCATTTTCTTCCATCTTTAAATCCCACAGAAAGTTTAAAATATGTGTCATCATTTGTTTAGATTCTTTTGCATAAGAGTTTTGCATGAGATATAGTAAAATTCACTAAATCCATGTAACAGAATTTTAAGTCTTAAATCTTTTTCTTGAGACACAATTTTCTAARGAGGGTTAGATATTTTGCATGCAAGACATAAGGGTATTAATTATTTGCTGATTCTGATATGTATCTGCTTTGACACTTGTATTCTGACTGTGTTTTTCAGAATAAATTAAAACATGAGTATTATTCTTACTTTCAGAATTGGAACGTTTGATGGAACTAAGCCATGAAATAAGGAATCCAAGTAAGTTGAAGAAGTATTCAGTAGTTTTMGAAGGGAATATAATCACACACTAATGACTGGAGTTCCCAAAAGGTTCTTCCTGAGACAATGGAAGCTTCATTTTTTTTTTTCATGGCACGACTTGCTTCCTTAACTTTCTATTCATTTAAATGATTATTAGTTTGTACTGAATAAKCATTACCTAAAAGTCTTTTTCAGTTTAATATTGCTTTGGCAATAGACTATAGGTAGCTATTAGCTAATTCCTTAGACATTGTGCAAATTATAAGCTGTAAATTGTGCTCTCCTTTTGAGAAATTAATTTTAAAAAATCAGCCAAAGACTGCATTAGACCGTTTTTCTTCATATAAATTATATTATGTGATTCAGCATTTCCTAAATAATGGGGAAATACTAATATATTATTATAATAACCCTTTTTCTTAGAGGGCTTCATGCATTATTGACTTTTGATTGATTTTCTCTCTGCAGCAATACCTCTGAAATCAGAATTAGCTTATGAGGTCCTTGAGAAAGGAGAAGTTCGTTTTTGGATTCAGGCTGAAAGCTTATCACCAGATTCTACCTACAGATTCGTTATTAATGATAAGGAAGTTAATAACGGTGATGTAAGTACATGTTGGGGGCCATATATATCTGATTTTCTTTAAAAACTCATTATGCGTTAATTGTTAATCTATTTTTATAATAGATTAAAGCCACATTATTAATATTGGTCTGACAATACCTGAAGAGAATGATAGTTTTTAATCTGAACATTTTTCACACTACAGAATTACTGTCCCAGAGAGATTATTGATACCAAATAAAAGAGCAAGGTTTATCTTTCATAAGGCTGTATTCATTCTGAGTACCTAGGTGGCCGATAGCCACAGAAAAAGAGAAGTTAGATCAAATAGGGCAGAGAAGAAGGCAAGGTCATCCTCCTGAAGGGTAAGAGTATGTTTTGTCCATGGGGCATTAAAATACAGGGCTGTAAATATGTGAGGAATCCACCTACACTGCAGCTGTTTGAAAGGCCCATTTATTCCCGAGGTTGCAAAGCCAGCTTTTAGCCAAAGCAGCTTATCAGCATTTTAACACTGTAGAAAAGCAAAATGAATTTGCCATAATTACATATTGCCAGGTGGAAGAGGAAGTGTTTATGAATAATATACTCCTCTGTATTTCCTACTGCAAGAAGAAATAAAATATAGCACTGGAAACATGAATATTAGTGACTAGGACATATTGAAATGACAATATTCTGCTTTGGCAGTGTTAGTGGAACATAATAAGCTATTTTTAGTATGCATATGTTTTGAAAGTGTTGACATCAGAGAGTCTTGAAGTGCAGCTGCATTATTTCACCTCTTTAATTAGTAACCCACAGATGACATTTACATTTTGAGATTGATGATATTTTTTTGTGAAATATCATTAAAAAAAGGTCTTTAAAAATGCCTGATATTTATGGTCCCCATAAAATCATTGAACTTCATCTTACTGCATAATGGCAATAGTTAGAAGCCTAATTACACTCTAAAACCTAGACTACAGTTACTGAACATGTTCAATAGTCCGTTATGCTTGGTAAAAAACTGTTCTGATTCTTGATTGACTGAAGTGATAATTTTTTCCATCTAGGTCCTAGCAGGGAATAGTTCCTTTAAGATTTTTAAAAATATCCAAGAATAAAATCATTTGAGTCCTGTTTATTATTAGCTGTCATTTTAATTATTTTTTTTTCCTAAACACAAAATAAGTCAGTTTCTATTCAATTTCCTGACAAGTTAAATCTTTTCTCATCCTATTATCATACATCTTTGAACTACATGTGGAAAAAAGTATATACAGATCACGTAACCATTTTTCCCCTGCAGTTTTGTATAAAAGATACACCTAAGTCTGGTCTTTTATAATAACTTCAATCAATCGCTATCCTAAACAATCTATAACTGATTTATTAATTCCATTCTTTTTCTTTCTCTTTCGTTCTTCTGTTACCTAAGGAGAATTTGAACTAAGCTTGTTTGATTATGCATTTTTTTGCCTATTTTGTGTATATATTTTGCCTATTTTCAGTGGTGTTTTCTCCTATATAATTCTAAGTCTTCCTTATTCAAGTATTCTGTAAGATTATACTATATTCATAATATTCATATATTTTTCATGATTTTTTCTTCTTTTATTTAGAAGTGCTTTACAATATCATGTCATAATTTATGCTAGCCTTATTTATATATCTGAAAGTACCAGATAGTAATGAATGGTAAACTTGCTGAGTACACCAAAACTGTTATTAGATAGGTATCTCAGGTATCTCAGGTATCTCAGTGAATATGACATATTTCCTTACTCTTGTGACTCGTCAGATGGCTGCTTTGGAGAGAGCCTCCAGGCAACCTTCTAGCCCTTACATGTTTTTCACTCTGCCCTGCTTCTGTGCCCAAGCTACTCTGCCAGGTCTGCTGTCCCTACAAGAGTGGATCTGTTCTTGAAGGTCACCAGGAGGGTTTTTCTCAAAGATGGAGTAGAAGTATCAGAAGTAATATTATTCCTAATAATTTTAGGTCAACACTTAAAGATTGTTCTAGTAATTCAGTTCCAGGTAGTTAAATAAACTGTATTTTTATTAACTTTTTTTTCTTTTTTTTTTTCCTGGTCATTTTTCTTAAATGATGTGTCTTTGTCTATTTTTTCTGGTTTTGGACACCTCCTTCCTCAGGTATTCTGTTTAAAAGGCATCATACCTCCTTTTGTCAGTACAGTTTTTAGCATTTTCCTGCATAAATTCCTCCTAGAGAACTACATTTACTTTTCTGTTTAGTCATAAACAAAGCAACTATTGAGAAGTATTCTCATCAGTTACTTAATAATATTATTAAATATTATAACTGATGAGAATATAACTGGTGAAAATATCATAATGATGAGATATTATAGTATTCTCATCAATTCTTATATTCTCATCAGTTACCCCCAAAATCTATTCACCAAGTAACTTCTATAAGTTATTTTTGTTTTGCTTTGCAAATTGTTAGTTGAAATTCAAACAACATCACTTTTGGTAGGACACACAGCCTTATGGATGCTATTCACTGAAGGATGATATTACATAGAAAAGTTGCTTATATCTAAAGCATATCTGTAAATGCAAAATAGGTATTTTGCAAATATTGTCCAATATTTACTTATAATCTTCTGTTTCCTTGAACTTTTCTGACAATATTTTATCTTTCTAGAATATTTAATGAAAGCAAACACAAAAAGGACACACAAACTGCGAAAAGCATATATAAATTTGACTTCAAGTCAATATTTGTCCTTTTGAGTATTTTTCCAAACCCTCAGTGGTTAACAAGATGTTTCAATGGTATTCTAACTCTGTTTTGTTGGACTCAATCTATCTTTTAGTTCACAGAAACTTTGTTGGTTTTACACAGGGGAGTCAGAAGTGCCTGTTCTCCCTTATGTGTTTTCTGAAGAGAATAMCTTGTTTAAGATGAGAGTATCATTATACTCTTCTTAAACAAAATTTTAATTAGAAAATCAGACCCAGTATCTAACTGCCACATATGTGTATCTCAGAGATATTTAGTGACTGTTTGAATTTGCTATAATGGATTTATTTGCAAGGTACATGTTTGGAGATCCACATTTGTGCATACAGATGTAGACTTACAGCTCTCTCTGGACTTTCCTTAGGGACAGTGTTTTTGACAGGCTGATCTCCATTTTGGACTGGAAGCTGCAATGTAGCTGGTGGCCAGACATGTAGGCTCTTCCTTGGACATATAGTTCTTTAAACCCAAACCAGCTATATTATGATGACTTAAACAGTCAAATGTAGCAGCATACAAAGGTTCCTATCACCACAGATCTTGTTGAGCAACAGTAAATACAAGAACAGCCCTCTCCCCATAGCCTACAATTCATAGGGCATGAGAGAGATGCAGTTATAATACATGATTAATTTGGTAAGAAATTATAAATATTTTACACCGTAATAAAGTTATTATTCATTTATTTCAGAGGCATAAAATAAGTTGTGATCGTTCCACTGGCATAATAGAAATGGTGATGGAAAAATTTACAATTGACAATGAAGGCACCTACACAGTACAGATTCAAGATGGAAAGGCCAAGAACCAGTCTTCATTAGTTCTTATTGGAGATGGTAAGTTTAGTGAAACATTGAAACTTTGGCTCAGATGAAGAAATGTTCTTCAATTATTCTTTGAATAATTTTGTGATTAACTCATGTCTCATTCACATCTTCTGAAATTTAGCATTCAAGACAGTATTGGCTGAGTCTGATCTCCAGAGAAAAGAATTTCTCAGGAAGCAAGGTAAGACATAGTATATTGGTGACTCTAGGCCCAATGTGCATTTAATGACGCATCCCTGCTAACTGCTAAATGCTTCCATCTTCCATTGACTTCATTAGAAGCTGAATACATTACATSTGTTGAGGAGATGCTGAATCCTTGCTGGAGGTGGATGCTATTTTCCAATATTGTGATATAACACATGCAGTTTGTGTCAGAAATTTCACTAAGTAGAGAAATATAGATAACCTCCTTGCAAGAAGTTATCATTGCTAAATATTCATAGGTGTTCCAACTCTAGGCTCTGATCCAGCAGAAAAATTCAGTGCATGTTTAGTTTTAGGCACATAAGTTGATTCACCCATTTAGTTGACTAAAATAGAGTCAGATTGAAACAAAAAAAAAAGATTTAAAAATATTCTGTCGCTTCTTTGAACAATAGAGCTTGAGCTCTAATTTGTAATTATTGCTTAGCAAATAGACAAGTTTTAGGATGAAAGTAGTAATTATTACAATGCACTTACACTTACCTAGGCTATTTGGAGTATCTGCACAAGCTGTRTAATACTGTTATTTTCTGTTGGATTTCTTAAAAGTTTTATGAAAGAAATAATACTATTCAGTTTATAAAATCTTCTCCTAGAGTATTGGAATTATTGGCCCTGATCCTGCAGACATTAGAATATACTCATATATTTACACATAAGTAATCACAAAAATGGCACAATTATTATGTATATCAGTAAATTTATTTAAGAGCATGAATATTTTCATGATTGGAACCTCAGTGAGGAACAGGAATACTTTGTGTTTCGTTTGTAATAATATGCTTTTAAACTTCATATAATTTGGACAAATAGTGTCTGCCATGGGATTTCTCTTTGAACATTTAACTGAGTGAGTGTTTGGATATATCTATTCATTCTAGAGTCCTCTCTACATTAAATGCATCATTTGCAGATTTGTTTTTAACTGCGTGCTGCTTCCTTACTATGTTCAGCTGGCAATCAAGTATGATTAGATTTAGTAAACTAATTTGTCTCTCTCACTAAGCTGTTTTACATTTTGGAGTGCTACAAGGTTTACCATGCAAGTAGAGGGGAGCCTCAGGTTTCTAGTCGTACTGTAGATACCTGGCTCGGTAAGATGAACACAGACCATCCTTTGAACATCCCGTGAATATCATTTTAGTGCATGTTCAGGGAAGTTTAGTGCAAGTTCAGGGAAGCTCTGTCATCATTCTGATGTAGAGATCTTTTAGAATATATTTGCTGTCCTTTTATTCTTTCTATCACTGGATCTCTCTGATCCCTTTTTCTTCATTCTGCAACATATACCTTAAGTCTGTTCTATTCCTTAGGTCCTCATTTCTCGGAGTTTTTGCATTGGAAAGTTACAGAAGAATGTGAAGTTTTACTTAATTGTCAGGTAAATAAATATGGTTGAAGAAACTTTTTAGAAGGTTTTATAGTTGACATAGGAAAATGTCAAAGAAAACTTTTTGCCATTTTTAAAATGAAACTTTCTGATGTCTTATTTTTAAACAGTAGCAGTCTTCAATAAAAATATAAACAAAATGTACAGGATTGTAGCCCTAATGGAGAATAGGACTAGACTTAAAAATTATAGAAATAACTTTTTTGAAATATGTTAACTAATCAAGATTTTTATTAATAACAATTGTGAGCCATAAAAAATATTCTGACTAAACATTCAGACTTAAATTCTTCCTTGGTCAAAAAGTAGCAGCATGATTCAATTTGAACTCTTTTCTTACCCTTTTCTGATTTGCTGGTACCTCTACCAAAGCATCTATTATATAATCAGTTGTAATCAAGCCTACATCAAAATTTCCAGAATGGGACAAARTGAGATTTCTCCTGGATGTGGCCAGTGACTTTTGCACCTTAACTAATGATAGTGTACATAGACTTCATAGTAACTTCTGCAGTTAGTGTCTTGATATGTTATTCTAAACTGATTTTTTTTCATTTTTGTTKCTCTTTTCTAGAATGACTAATTAGAGGTCTGAATAATTAATTTAATTCAGCAAGCATCAAACTTTTTTCATTACCTTTTTTTCTTCTGCAGTATGGGCTCTTTTGTATTAATTTTACCCATTTCTTTTGAAAAAGTTTTTGGGTTTTAATTAGTCCAACTTGAATCATTCATTATGAGTAATTTACATGCACATTTGTTCCTTTTTTTTTTCTCTTCTATATTTTTCCTGCTCAGTAATTAGAGAGCCTTTAACCTCTGCTGATTCCCACCAGAGCTGACCTGGGAGGTGAAGCTGCCATTCTGTGTGCCCTTTCTTAGGGCTCAGCACTCATTAGTTGATGTGCTACCTTGGCTCACTCGGAGCTGCACAGCAGGAGGGCTTTATAATCCCAACATGCGTTTGCCACAGGCATGAACCATGCTTATCCTTTCACTCACAGAGGGAATTAAATGGTTCTGAAACAGTTACAATAGAGTTAATTCTATACAAATTAGTCTGAAAGTATTCACCTTTTCATTAACTTTAGAGCCCGAAACAGCGCAAAAGCCTGAGCATCTGATTATGTGCTTTTCATCAGTGTATTTTTTGTTCATAAGGTCAGAACTGCAATCCAGGAAGTTGGTTGTCTGCAAACCCATCATTTTAACTATACCATTGACCTTACATATTTGTTACTTTTAGTGTATAACTGTCCATTAGATCCACATGGTGCTGTTTAAATGATATTTTTACATAGAAAAAGATTGGACAATAAAGCCTGGGTTTGTCCTGCTAATTTCAGGTATCTGACTAAAGCAGTGTGGCTGCTCTGAACTATTCCCATAGTATTAAAATTATCCAAGGAACAATCTCTGGCTCCCCAGGCCAACTCATTCAGGGTGGTTGACATGCACCCTACACAGAGGTAGCTCCCTGGACAGAAGAAGACAGGGCATGAACAGGYTAACTGCATTTGGGCAAGGTCTCTTCTAGTTTCTAACTAATGGCCCTGTGTAAAAATCATTTTCATGTGTTTTATGTTTTCAGAGAGCTTGGGATAACATGAAGGAAGTACTGGGACCTGTCAGAGAGATGCTTTATAGCATGCCAGGACTTTCTTGTATGATTAAACATGGGGGAGTTTGGGAACCACGCCACCTGGAAGCTTGAGTAGGGCAGAGGACTAACTGTATGATCTAAATCCATAAGAATAATTTCATTTTTGGTRTATGGCTATCAGAAAAGATGACTTTTTATAATAAATGTCAACATGAAATAATTTTGGCAGTGCAAACTGCATTTGTCACAAACTCAGTCTATTCTTGTTAGTTTGAATCCTAGCAGGCCTTGACTGAAAGCTATTGGAAAGCATTATAGGCTTGTTCCTTCAGGCTTTGTTCAAACAAAATTGCCATTCAGTCATATGGTTGCACAAATCAACTATGAAGCACTTTCTTGTTACTGGCAAACGTGAAATGCTGCTTGCTTTACTCCTGCAAGATGTTGCTTTGGGGGAGATTTTGATCTTACATGTTGTAAGCGATCCATAATGATGACATCATTGGCTATTAAGTGGCAATATATGTGAATAATGCTAACAGGATTTAAAGAGATGTCTGGGAATCAATACAGGRGACGGAAGGATCCTCCTATTTATCTGGTCATCTCTATAGAAAACTTTCACAGAGCTGTTCATCTACAGAGTAAAATGTTTCTCATATAAAAGAGTTAGAAAGTGGTGCATATATTTTCCAACAYGCAAGACACTTGACAACTACAAAAGGGCTGTATGATCTTCTGGGCTTCCCTGTAACGAATTTTTTGAGTCCTTTTTTTAAGGGGATTTTAACTGACTGCCTGGGGACTCAGAAATGTCCTGTCAGCCCTGCTCTTCTACCAAAGTCATGCTGACTTGGAATTTGGGCTAAGTGGAGAAATAAATGACATTTCTGTGATTTTTGGAAGAGTATGGGAATAATGATCTGAAATAAACCATAATGTTTCTTAAAGGGGAAGGAAATAAAATACATTGACAAGTTTTCTAAAGAGAGATGGGCTTTAAGCTTTTTTGAAGTCATGCTTTGAGGCCATTTKTCCAGCAATACTTTTAGTGTCACCGATGCAACAATTGTATTTCAAAATTAAAGTACTACTGGACGTATAGGAGTAGTCTATTTTTTTCTTTGTAGATGAGCTTCTGCTACCACAGCAAAATTGTGRCTTTCAAGCACCTTCTCTGAATTTGTCCTACTATCTTAAGTCCTTTTGTATCARGAGAGACTGCAATTTGCAGAATTCTTCAAGTCTTTGTACTTCCTGTAAGGCACATTTATAGCGGRRAAAAAAAAAAAAAGAAAAAAGTCAACCTCACAATTTRGAAGTCTCAAATGCTTTCAGAATAGTAATTTCAGGGAGCTTTTATACAGTTTTATCCTGAAAAACATTACTTGGATAATCAGGATTATCTGCAAATTAGCTATAGACTTTCCAAGATACAGTCTAGATTCTGTTTTACAACTCTCTGGAGACATATGGCAAATGCAAAACAATAAATGAAAGTTCAGCAGCTTCAAGCCTACTCCAATTTAAAGGATTTTTGGTGCAGATATCTCTAGACAAACTGCAACCTGCAAGGGTGCAAAATACTTTAAAGGAATAGATCAAGGAGAATTCGTTTTAGGATTCAGGAGTAYTCTGAAGCTGCAGACTTCTCATCAGTTCTATGCTACAAATGAATACTGTAGCACTAGCATTTTGTTTAGTAGAACTTGGTTGTACKTGTTTTTTCCTTAGCTTTATTTGACATATATTAAAAGAAAAAAAAAAAAAAAAAGGCTTCTAGCCTTCTTATTTTAGAAGGGTGACTGCTTACAGTGGGATATCTTTTGTGTGCATATAGCCGTGCTTACATGCCTATTCTGTTGTACAGGTGGCAAACACAAAGAAGGAGACTGTTTTCAAATGGTATAAAGACGGTTCTGGGATTGAGGCTGATGAGGTGCCTGATCTGCAGAAGGGAGAATGCCACTTCACTATTCCCAGGGTACGGTATCATCTACTGATTAGAAATAACAGCTTCTGCTTGACGTGCTTTTGCTTTGTAAGGCAGAGCACTAAACCAGCTATTATGATTTCTGTGAAACATTTTAAGAAAAGGCACATTTGCTACCCTTCACTTAGCTGGTGAGTAACTAATGCTGGTAAGAGTGTTATTTTTGCCGTCAGCTCAGCCACCTCATGCTTAAGCTACTTCAAAATCCTTAGATGACCTCTCTCCAGTTCTGTGTCTTATTGCTCCTTAATTTTTCAGTTTGTTCAAACACCTCTGACAGTATCTCAAATTTATTGCCTAAAGTTAATAGATTTGAGGCATATTATTGTTTCTTAAGATTTCTCTTGATGCAAACAGAATAACCTAACTTCTGTCTGAAACTATATATTTCTTAGCGTTCTCTTTGTTAAGTCCCCCAAACTCCCCTGGAGTCTTCTTGCTTTCAACATAATCTCTATTCATTTTTTTTTGTCTTCATATTCTTCCAATCTCCCTTCTTCATTTACCTGTAGTAAGGTACTGACTGTCCAGTGGCTTTATTTTTTTTGAGTTAACTTTCCTGGGGAATGGTTTCTGTTTGTTTTTAATTGCTGCTGTTAATTGTCATTTAATGATATGATGGTTTTCTCGTTATTTCCTTGTTTATGAGTCTTTATAAATCTTAGATTCCACTAAATAACTTCCAACCTGAATTTATGCTAAAGTAAACCCACCCAAACAAACAAAAYCATCACCAAAAAATCCCACTTCTTAAAAGCAGTATCACTGTGTTAGATTATAGGATGTGAGTTTTCTCTATAGTTAATGAAGGCATTGTTTACTTAGCACAGATATTATTTGTGACTACAGTTACTGCTTGACTGAAAGTCAGTGCTTGGATTTGGATAGTTAAAGGGCATTGATCCTTTCAATGCTCTATATAGACTGACTCCAAAAAGTAATAGTTTCAGTTGAAGAAAAAAGGGACTGTAAAGTGTATGTGGGTTAAAGTTAACCCCTATTACAGCTAGCTAAGCTACTTGTGATTTCTACTGACCAGGAYCAATCCAGTTATTGGTCCTGGAAAAAGAGGAAAAATCAAATTTCTCAAGGCAACTGAAATGAAATCATAGTATGTGTTGAGTTTAAGGACTAACTATATCTGCATAAAAAGCATGCACAAACCATTCATAGTTTCCCATCTCATCTCTGGTAAGATAACTAAACCAGAATGCAGGACAATGTATGCAGCTTGGTTTAGAAAATTGTGAAGTGTCTATGAAAGTGCTGTATTCTTATCAAGCTTGACATGTCATATCTTGTGCTTTCCTTACAGCTGTCTCGCAAAGATGAAGGAGTTTATAAGGCAACACTGTCAGATGATAGAGGTCATGATGTATCTACACTTGAATTATCAGGAAAAGGTAACATGTAGTTTACTATATTGAAATAACAATCTCAAAACGTTCTCCAAAAGTGTCAAATATTTTATGCACATTTAAATTCGATCAGAAAAGCAACTGTTATTTACCTCCGAGGGTACAGCAAAGATAAATCTATAGCCAGCATAAATGATTTTTACTCAACCCTGGCAGATTGCCGGGGAGTCTCATGTTTAGGTCTCAACAATAAGTCCAAAGTGGACCTACATCCATTCCACCTGCATTTAGACACTTGACTTGCATCCAAATAAAAGTTTATTTTCCTCTCTGGTTTTAATAATGGCGAAAGACACTTTCTAAAGTTAATTTAGTTTACCGAAGACCTTAAAAAATTCTTCAGGAGATTGGTGAAGTGCTTAGAGCAGGAGGAAGTAATGAATCTCACCCTAAAGTCTTAAGATGCCCTTGACCTCAGACAGCTGTATCATCTGAAAGACTGYATAGTCTTTCATATATTTTTCCTATGCATAAGATCTGTCCACTATTCGTCCAGGAAAACATCTCACTGAGACAGGACAGGTATTATTGTCCTACTTTTCTAGATGTCTATTGTCTGGGATATAATTTATCTCCTCCAGTTAACATGACAGTGGCAGTGTACTGAATTTTTCAAAGGCTTCCAGAACTGAATAACTATTTATTTTAGAAGATACAAAAAAGTGTACAGATACAAATCGATATAGACCAAATATGCAAACAGCATTTTCACAGCTTCATGCATTTCACCATCCTTCCTTTTCATGAAAGTTCTTCAGCACAAGTATGGCTTTTAACTCACCACTCTTAAACATTATGGTATCTCTTTTCTTCCCTCTCTTTCCTTCTTATACAATGATTTTTTTTTCTTAACATTGAACAGGATTCTGAGCACTCTTGATGAAAGAGTGTCTCAATCTTCTGGTCAAGCTGCCCTTCTCTCCAGGGATCTCCCCTTCTACCAAACCATCAGTGTAGTGATATTTCAAAAGCTTGATAAGATACCTGGTTTAATCCATTTGCTGTTGAATGACTTTACAGTTGCTAAATGCTATCCTAGAGGGAGCAAGTGAAAATTGTTTCCACCCAGAATGTGCTGATTTTTATTTCTCTTGCACTTTTCTTTGAATGTGAGCTATCAAGTTTTAATGACTTTTATTATATCTGGTCTGAAGGATACAAAAGGCAAAGACTTGACAGTGCATGGCTGTCTCTACATTCAGTTAAAGTATTCAGTGACACAGCACAGAATTCATATGCTTTACACAGCTGGAGTCTCCAAACTGTCCTATACACCTATTGCAATTTTAATGTTTTTCTTTGCCTAAGGATGAAAGATTTCCCATATCACATTAATTAAACTAAACATAACAGAACTATATTCTGATTGAATTTTGATGGTACATTTTCTTTTTTTTTTCTTTTCAGTGTATGATGATGTAATGCTTGCACTGAGTGGAGTCAGTGGTAAGTAAATGCTGTCTCAGATTTTCACGTAGTTTTTTTATATATTAAAATGACCTGAGACTGAGACAAGCAATTTTTATTACAAGTGGGAAATATATGGGTTTCATGGTGCTTATATTATTATTATGGGAATGCTATTAAGTTTCTGAATAGGCATTTGACCTTGCTAATTGACACTATTAAAAAGGAACAAAGTGCCATTTCACCTGGCTGGTTTGGTTTAGATACATGAGAATTTTATGATAATGGTTTTCCTTGTACTGCCCATCAGTAAATGAGTCTTACATTACAGAGAGAATTAGATTCTGCTCCTACTGTCAATAATAAGTCAGAAATCRTTCCAATAAAAGAACAAATTTTGCACGTGAATAAAATAGTTGTGCAACTGTAATCATGACACTCTTTTTTCATGGCAATTACATGACTGGTTTATTTTTTTTAGAAGAGATCTTACTTCTCATAATGCTTTCCATTAAAACTGTAAGTTCACATTGAAATTAGCAGATGTTCTTTGAAAAACAGAAATCTCTGTTATGGTTGTACACTGTGACCCAAATCTTGAACATATTTTCTCCTGCGAGCACTAGAACTCCATTTGACTATTTCCTAATCATTCCAATATCCTATTTGATCTTCACATATTCTGTTTTATATAGGTAAATCTGCTTCTCAGCTAAAGATCCTTTGCACAGAGGAAGGAATAAGACTCCAGTGTTTCTTGAAGTACTACAATGAAGAAATGAAAGTCAGCTGGTTTCACAGGTAGATGAGAACATATTTCTTAAGATGGAGCCTACATTCAAATTTATTTGAGCAAAATGCACTCTGAATGATTTACTAGTTACTATTCTATAGCACTCTTTAGCAACTGGAGTGCATAAAAAAATTTATCTTTCCAGCACTTGATACTCCTTTTTCACTGATAGTGAACAGAGTAACAGGAAAATTAATCGACTTGTCCAACACTTATCAGGAGGGCAGTAACAGAGCCAGGAAGAGAGAATCGCCAGTATTTCAGTCTTTTATTCAACACAGTACTGCTAATTTCCCACTGTATTACCTGTTTAGTTCAAAGACAGTAACATATCCAGGCACAGTTGTCTGATCAGGCTGTCTTTTTCTTTTGATGATTTTTTTCTACTCATATTTACTTTACTAAGTAAATATGAAGGATCTGCTCCTACAGTTAAACAAACCCCACATTAAGAAAGCAAAATCATTTTTCAAACTGACATAGCCGTATATGACCTAAGATATTTTAATACTATTCCTCTTCTTTGAACAGATATTCAGTAACAAAGGGGAGGCACCAGATATCCTCAGCACTAAGAACATGACTAAGAACTGAGCTGTAGAATTCCAAATACTACTTTCACTCTCATGTTACATTAATACTTGACTTCGGTGTCTCTCTTTATTCATCTCTATATCAGGTCCATTATTTGTTTGAAACAACAGGTAAAGTTTTGAAGGTTTTTAAAACTCTTCAAGTGTTTTCAACTGCTTCATTCCTGGATGATTTCCAAAGACGACACGAAGTCAACTCAATTGGCTGTTTACTAGCACTTGCATGCTACATTTTGCAATGATGCAAAATTTTATTTTGGTCCTTTATTTTGGTGAAAACACTTAGAAATGTGCAAGATAGTATCAGTGATCATCAGACTGGAGGAGACTAGGCAGACATCTGTGAGAGTGTGCAGCAGTACTTGTATCTCCAATTTTCAATTCAGTAAGTTTTGCTTTTTCTTTCAGTAAATGTGATATCTATATGATGGAAATGTTAGGATTTTTTTTTTCCTCTGCCTACATCTGCTTGAGCTTTAGAGGTTGTTTAGTCCATTCCACTATCCAGTTCATAGAAACAGAAAACTGAGGAATGTTTTATGTCAAATCTGGCAACACTAGTATGCATATTGAGTATGCCCCACTCAATATTTCAGATTTAATAATAGGACTTATGTGTTGATTTTTCTGAAGATCACTAAACTGATTTTGGAAAAAGAAATCTATTATGAATGCAATAAGCAAAAGCCAGATTTGTTATGCAGAGCTAAAACAACGACTAAAGCACAAAAACAAGCCAGCCTTGTCCAGGCCTCCCAAATCTCCCTAGTCTTTTGCATAAAGTTCTGGAATATTATTCCTGGAAGACAGAAAGGCTGGACAATCACTAGTTTTCTTACCGTTATTTGCACAGCATGAAACACATCATGCAATTTTCAGCTAGTTTTGAATTATCCACTATACTGCATAGCAGGGAATATAATGCAAGTCTTAAAGCCAGCATGCATCATTGTACAAGACACAGTACATTTTAATATATAGTAGTTTCTGTCCAGATATCTAATTTGGATCATGGAGCTCAATGTAGTACTCTTCCAAAAAAGAAAATGAGCAGTAAAAATTCCTTTCCCCCATCAAAGTAGATGCTTAACTATGAAGCCACATCAGTTCTGTCTAGGTGAATAAATTAACTTATCAAAGAGAAGCCAATACTGACTTTACCTGTGTAAAAAAACAGTTAAAAATGCTTGGGAGAAAGGAATAAAAGGACATTTCTTTAGTTCATGGGAGAAAGGAGAAACTTCTTTGCAAACTATTGAAACTGGCTAGATTTACATGTTCTCCCTAAACACTTKCTTCGGCTGCCACTTATATCAACAAAGTTACGGGATAGGAGAACTATTGATTTGATCCCACAGGACATATCTTGCATTCTTAACTGAGGAAAATATGAAGAAGATTATTTGCCTTTAGTGTACCATTCTGATGCCTTCCATTATGTGCCTATGAAATGTACAGAACTCTAAAGACAAGCAGCATATAGACATTTATGGGTGTCTGTAATACCTATATAAATAGGCATTTAGGCATTACACCGGTACATCTGTGTAAATGGACTCACGAGCTCAAGCTAATGCTCTAAAATGTTTCATAGACTAGGAAGAAAAGAATTTCCTGTGAAATTGCTCTCAGTACTTGCAATTTATTTGAAGTTTGGGAATGATAATGTAACCCTCTTTAACATTTCATTGGTGATCTTCTATGGAGAATATACATGAAAAGTATGTTCAAACCCCTTTCTGTTATTTTTTGAAGGGAATCTAAGATTCCTTCTGGTGAAAAAATGAGGATTGGTGGTGGAGAGGAAGTTGCCTGGCTGCAGATATGTGAACCCACTGAAAAGGATAAGGGGAACTATACCTTTGAAATTTTTGGTGCCAAAGAATCCTACAAACGTACACTTGATCTATCTGGGCAAGGTAAATTTGTAAATTTGATGATGTATCATGAATTAAATGCAATTAATCAATAGTAACCAGGGGAATGATAGTAAAATTTTTGTTGGTCAAAACCAGCTGCTGTTTAGCTGCATAACTTTTACGATCATTTTAGTTTAAAATTTGTTTCTGCCACATGTGATAGTACATTCCAGGAGGTTCGCTTTCTATTTTGATACTATGTAAAATTGTCTTAGTCTTAAAAGATTTTAAATATTAATATGTGCTACATATTTTACATTGAGTCCCTAATGAATGTTTTACTCGTGGACAATAATGATTTCAATTATTTTATTACAGCCTTTGATGATGCATACACAGAATTCCAACGACTCAAGTAAGCCCTATGTCTTTTGCATTTTAGTGCTATTAAAACAGTGCCTTAATTTTCACAGAAAATATTTCATTCATAATTGTATTAATAATATTTCTCTTTTTCTCCTTAATAATTTTAGGGCAGCAGCTTTTGCTGAGAAGAGTAAGTTTGTTTTACATTTTATCAACAATATTCTACTTTAAGGCATTCACTAGTGCCATAGCTTTCAGAGTTCAATGTTTGYGGAAATGCCCTTACTACAAAATATTGATGCGGGATTTGTGTTTAAATTCAGTGGAAACCTGCTAAATGTGCATTTTTTTCACATATTGCAAGCCTCCAAATATGTATTTTTGCAATTGTAAACAAAAAGATTTTCTGAGAGGTGTAGACTATAAAAAAAGGGATGATGATATTGAATACTAGGATTTACCTATTTAGCAAGAACAAAACAAAACAAACAAACAAAAAAAGCTTGTTGCATGTGCTAAGAGACAGTGTGGAAACTTGTTGCTGATAGGGACTGCAGGAATTCTTACGGTTTGATATCAAGTCCCCTGATAATCACAAAATGCCAAAATTCTTCTGTTTGGCCCACAAAGGGGCAGAGTGACAGAACAGATTTTCCTCAGGTCTTTAATATCACCCAGATGCTAAAAACATCCTCCTTGCTTTGCTCTGTCTTCAAAGCATGAACTGTCAAACTCTGCAGCAGCTGCAAGGCTCTTATGAGTATCCRTTTAAAACTTTGTAGCAAAGCCACCTCTGTTAAAAATCGGAGCGATGAAATAAGACAAAGCATCAAAAGTATTATTTTGCATTTAATTAACAAAGAATGCCATTTTTATAACATAAGCTCAAGCAGAAGTTTTGACTAATATGGCAGTAAGTTCCAAAACCACAGAGAAATGAGTAATTTTAACTGTACACATCATGTGATTTGTGTATTTTTCTTTTAATTCCTAGATCGTGGTAAAGTCATTGGTGGTTTGCCTGATGTTGTGACTATAATGGACGGCAAGGTAAGAGCAGTTTTTATCAGTGAGTCATGCTGACTGGTAAGATATTTCCTCTACCAGGGAAAAGGGAGGAATATAGGTGATTTTATAGAAGCTGAGAGAAAGGAGAAGAGAATTCAACCCACCTAATGATAGTCATTTAATTGAGGCACATGAGAAGTCATAAGTAAACATTGTTACTGCAAGCTCTCTGTACAGTCAGGGGAGCAGAGCTTGATTAAGCTCTAACAGGATGTCCCTCAATGGTGTTTTGTCACAGTGGAGTGGGATCTTGTAAAATCTCAAGCCAAACTCTTCAGATACGATGAGGAAGTAGAAGACTGAGTCTGAACTGCGGAGTCCTTACAAATATAAGACACTGAAACTCACATCCTGTGACTTTCAGTCCAGGAAAGAGAGACCAGTTTTGTCCTTCTGATTCACAGAATTCACAGAATTCACAGAATATTTAAGGTTGGAAGGGACCTCTAGAGATCATCTAGTCCAACCTTCCTGCTCAAGCAGGCACACCTACAGCATGTGGCACAGGGTGGCATCCAGGCGGGTTTTGAAGACCTCCAGAGTRGGAGACTCCACAACCYCCCTGGGCAGCCTGTTCCACTGCTCTGTCACCCTMACAGKAAAGAAGTTGCTCCTCACCTGGAGACGGAACTTCTTATGCTTCAGCTTGTGGCCATTACCCTGATGCAGGGAGCAAAGTCTTGTCTACTTTCTTCTACAGGCAAATCTCATTCTGCTGGGTGTTCTGCCCTGTTCCATGAGGAGAGATGAAGTCTCTCCTATCTGGGAAAAAGATAATTGGAAGAAAAAAAGAAAAGGAAGAAAAAAGAAATCTGCAGCATTATATATAGTGCAAAGGAGATACMTGGAAATGAATATCCAGCACCTTTTCACATTAGGCACAGGAAGTGCCTAATCACACAGTGATTACAGGCTTCAAGGGAGCAAGAGGAAGTAGTTTTTCATGTGGTAATTTGAGATACTTCATGACTTATACCAAAAAAAAAAAAAAAAAACGAAATAGGCAACATGAGAGGGTAGACCAGCAGATCTATTAAACACAATATCTGGATGCAACCTGATCTTAGAACTGGCTTATAAGCCACTCATTATTGAAAAACAGGACATTATACTGGCACTTAGGAAGCCGCACTATCCATTTACTGTATTTTTTATGCTTTCTGAAGCAGTTGCTTTCAACCTCTAAAAGAGYGGGTTGGAGTTTTAATTTGACCAACCATAGCAGATCAACTCATGAGCCAATGTGACTTTTACCATCTGCTGGCTATCAAGAGCTTGTACATCAGACTGTTTATGTCTGCTGTGTGAAGAGCATCTTCAGAGGATACAGCTGTGTTGCTCTGTTTGGAAATTGCCTTTCTCATGGCCAAAGTAATGAGGCTGCAAACAGAAAAAGTTCTTCCAACTTTCTGTGTAGTTGACCATTTTCTGGCTATCTGAGAATAAATAGTCTCTTAAGAAGGGAAGAGGCGTGAAGTGGGCCTTGCAGTGGATACTGAATCCTGCCTGGATATGGAATCGAATAGTATGACTTTCCTCTGGTTTACATTGTTTATTCCCTTCTCTTTTTCTAGTGGGTATCCATTGCCCTTTCTTATTGGCATAGATACAGACACCACTATGAGAAAGTCAGTTCCTTAGGAAGTTGAATATATCTTAAATATATCTTAAAGCCAGCGTCTTGAAACTGTAAGCAAATAACTAACTGTAAGCATCTAACTGTAAGCAAATAACTTGAAGAAGTCACCCCTCACTTGGGACAAGTTTCTTCAAGAAAAATCATACCCTAAAAAAAACCTGTAAATTTAGAAAATGCTGCAAAATAAATTTCAAGAAATAAAGATCTTCAAAGGAGATTAAACAGCTGAATGTGTGAAGGGGAAGGCTCTAATTCATGCACTGCATGGACAAAATGGACTGCAAGGAAGTGAATTTTTAAATTCACCTCTGAAGCAAAAATGAATAGCTGCTAAGCAAGATTCATACAAACACAAGCATGAAAAATAATAATAGGAAAAAAAGAAGAAAGAATTTTCTTCATGCAATGGAATAGTATTTTAACACAAATACACAAACACAAAACAAGCCTTACTGGTTCTTATTAAGAAAGTATAAATGGTTTAAGCCACATCTATAATTTAACAAATTAAAACAGTCCCAAATGATCAAAAATGACTGTGGAATATATCTAGAATATATCTTGTCTCTGGCAAGTTTTTAATATTAACATACTGAGACTCGAGTAATTTTTATGAATTAATTATTAATTGCTCTTAAATGARGTCACTTTTGAGGGCAATAGTGATGAAATGTTGACTGTGCTACAGAAAGGACCATAAGATTTAAACTCATACTACTAGAGATTATATTACTCTTCTAAAATTATATTTTCATGTTTGCCTTCATCATTCTCCTAATTATTTTATGGCAAGACTAGTTTCTACAAGACATTAATTAACTTTTCATCATACATGTTATTGCTCCTCTTAGACTACTTGCACTCTTATGTTGTCATCCAGTTGTACCCAAAGCATATAAATCTCCTTTCAGTGGTCCCCTCTGACTTTGGAGCCTCTTCTATTTTATAACATACAGGATTTTTGATTATTTGAAATGTCTTCTCTTTTAAAAATATTTTATTATTATTTTCAGTGGGTTGTATCACCTCATTCATTACAATTTAAGTACTTTACTTGAGCATGCACATGTGTGTGCACAAAGGCAGAGTCTTTCTGCTCCCCCTGGATCAAGGGGAGTCTCCCTCTCCCTCTCCCTCTCCCTCTCCCTCTCCCTCTCCCTCTGTCTTCCTTTTTTCTTCTCTTCTTTTTTCTTTTCTTCAGTGATAGATATATGAAATTCTTAAGGTGACCTAATTATCTAGGTAAGAATATGGGGCAGAAAGATTCAAGTAAAGGTGGACAAGGTAGGCATTTACCAATAAATTCTTCATAAGAGTATATTTCATTTATTCTATCGTGACCATACCAAAATACACACACACACAAAAATGTTCTCATATGCGTTGTGGTCAAAATTATTAAATAGATTAAATTTTGGAAGAATAACTATGAAAATTTTATAGGATTCCTCATCCCATTTCAACCGTTCTTGGAAAACATCTAAATTGCCAGAATGCTAGTAGATGTTACTAGATAATTTCAGATATTCTCTGAATACTTCTGTGTAATACTTTTACAGTCTTTATGTATTATTTAGTCTTCATAAAATATTTCTGCTTTACCAGTCAGCAGCACCTGGAAGACAACTTTCAGAGACGCATGTTATGTACTAATACTTTTTAAATGTATTTTTTTTTAACTTCTCCAGTCATAATCTCAGGAGACCTAGGTCAGAAAATATTTTCTCAGGCTTTCTCTCTGCTGTGTAGAGGGAATCTAAAGGATTTATTTTAAACCTATCATTGTCTGAACACCATGTCAGACTAATGTGTTGTCAGGAATCTCCTGCAGGCAAGATGGCAAAGACATTCAAACATACCATCTTCAGAGAGTGTTACCCTTGGGCTATTACTGCATCACAGTCACTGGTAAGAGGGTAGAAAAAAATGAGTCAAACATAAAAACAAAAAAAAAAGGAAAAAAAAAGGAAAAATATTTCTTGATCTTCTAGAATGCGATGCTTGCCCTCCTTTAATTAAGAAGTGTCTGAAAGCAATACTGAGAATATGCTGGTTAAACAAATCTGATGATTGATTCTTAACATCTTTTTCCCTCCCTCAGACTCTGAATCTGACCTGTACTGTGTTTGGAAATCCTGACCCAGAAGTGGTTTGGTTCAAGAATGACAAGGCCTTTGAACTTAACGAGCACTATGTTGTTTCACTGGAACATGGGAAATATGCCAGTTTATCAATCAAGGGAGTGACCTCAGAAGACTCAGGCAAATACAGCATCTACGTCAAGAACAAGTATGGTGGGGAAACAGTGGATGTCACTGTAAGCGTGTACAGACATGGTGAAAAAATCCCTGAAGTTAAACCAGGCCAACTTGCTAAGCCCAGGCCAATACCACCATCAGAAGAAGTCCTAGGACATGAGGCAAATGCAAAGCCTAAACAGAAGTAAAGCTTGAAACTCTGTGTTTGAGAAACAAAACAGTAGAGATGATTTGCAGTTGAGGTGTTCCCACACATAACTAATTGGTATAGTCTGAAAGGAAACTGAGCTTTTAGAAGTGTGCTTTAGGGAGGCAGCTGTGCTACAGAACTGTACACATGTTCAACACTTTCAGCAGGAATACATGAAACACGGGGGACTTACAACTAGGTAAAAGGCAAATACCTATCAGCAGTTCCAGAGTGCAATAGCATATCCCATAAACTTACAATTCTTCCATTTCTTCCATTTCTATCCTCTCCATCACTCTGCAAAGCAAACAAGCAAACCCCACAGCCCTCTTTGAGGACACATATTTTCATTCTGTCAATGAGGGTAATGAACTGCAGTTAGATACGTATTCAGAGATGAATCCTGCTTTCTTACATAGTCTCTTTGGCTTTGAAGCCGCTGACCATGCGAATTAAAAGTCTAATGGATAGTTCCTCTTTAGTAGTGATATTTAATTCCTATTTAGTAGTGGTTTTTATTTTGTAGTTTGAACTTAACTATAGTAGAATTTTACAATTGTTCACTGTTTACTTATTGAATTATAGGTTACATGATTGTATTTCGTTTTCCTTGCTTTGTGCTAATAAAACTTTAAAAGTCACCTTGTGCTTCTCACTGCACCAAATCACACCTAACTAGATCTGTTTACTCTCTTTCATTGTTTAATTATTGCTTATTGCACAATTTCACAGCTGGTAGCATGCAGACAATCGACTTTCAATAAAGAAAACAAATTATGTTTAATCACAGTCACTAGGTGGCACTTACATTAATTTTGCTTTTTACAATATAAGTCAAGATGCAAACTCAAACTGGTACCAAAGACATGTATACAATTCAGTCACTTAGGGTAATTATGTGTTTGACTCTCCTCTATCTCAAATGAATAGCACAGCTCTCCAGTGGGTGAAGTGATGTTCCACTACACAAAGATTTAAATGGATGCTCATCATGAAACGTTCAAATAGAATGGGCTTCAGTGAGACTACTTATATATCTGTCATATAGTACATGCTTGAGTGCAACACTGAGTGTTTTAATACCAGACTGTCTATTTCATAAYAGTCCATTTATCTACTTAGATGAATCTATGTAAATTAGCAACTAGTTTTCAGCAGAGTTCTTCTAAGAGTAGACAAGCAAAGCAAGTAAAACAGATTCCCTGAATGCCACCCACCTCTCTTCAGACTTCTCCCTGTCTATGGAGTAGGATAAATGTCAGGGAAAGAGAACCTTGTGGGAGGGAGGGAAATGGGGCTCCCCTAATGGTAGGGGAGTGGTCTACAGAAATGGCATGGGTGGTCTACAGAATTGGCACTCTGTAGAATCTTAATTGGAAAAAATGGGCAAAAGTGTTTGGAATAAGCAACAGGTATTATTTGTTATCTTTGGGCTTCATGGGTGAAAGCTGGAGCTGAGTCTCCAACATTGTGCTGAATGAGTGGATCTTAAGTTCAAAAGTATAGAAATCAATTTTTGTTTTTGCAAACTAGAAAACCAGGAATATTTTCAGAATAAGCTTCTTTGTCCTTTTTATTTTTTCCCTCATCTGAGTGGCACAGACCTTCTCTTGTTTTGTCTGGCACACAAATACTTCATTTGACTCAAAAAAATATTTGATTTTGAGACAGATGAAAAGCAGGGTAAATAAAAGGCCAATTTACAAGCTGTCAGATGAAATAGGTTGGAGGAATCATCTGGCAGGTAAGGAAAGAAATATTTAGTCATTCCCCTTCTTCTTCCTACCTATCCATGGGCATTTGAACCTCTATCTCTGTTTAGGACAAGTGCAATAACCTTCAGGCTATGTTGTATCTGGAAATATTGCTTCTCCCAGCAGTTGATGCTTTTTCTCTCTGTGTGACTAAGTAAACCGGCACTGGAGAAGATCCTTGACCTAGATGTCCTACCTCTCATGTGACCATGCTAAATGTGAGACCTGAGAGGTGTTCCTTATTTCTTGTGTATCATCTTAGTTTCCAATACTGAAGAAAAGTTGAGGGTACAGTGCTGCAGACTATTCAAAAGCCCATTGGTTTGCACACATAACTGGTGATAACTGGTTCACTGTAGTTTGAAATTTCTCAGGTGAGAAACAGTGCAAATCTGCTCTGTAATCCATTAACTGCAGTGAATAGTTGAGATAAAAAAAGAACTGTCCAGCTCTGGAAAGGAAATAGTCTTTAATTGCATTATACTTAAAAAAAAAAAAAGACACTTTGCTTTTAAAGAAATGTGTTTCTGGAGAGAGAGATATACTTGGAGTGAAAAGGGAGGTAATGAAAAATAGTTCTGTGGAGTGAAAAAATTCTTTATTTACGAAATCATTGTGTCTGGTCATTGAATGAAATTTTCGGAGAGAATTAAATTGATCAAGAAGATGATATTACTGTGAGGTAGCTTAACTGGTAAAATTTAGAATATAAAGCAAAGCAAAATTTTATTTTTCAAATATCCACCAAAATAAGAAAATTAAATATTTCTGTGAAACTGGTACTATAAGAACTTCAGAAAACCTTTTAGAGAGCTAAAATAGCTCATTTTTTCTTTCTTTTCCATTCTAATTTAGATTTAAGGCCTTTAAGGTTTTCAGAATCTTTCTAAAGCAGGCTCACAAAACATCTGCCAGTTCCTGTAGCAAACAAAGTGAATATCAGCAATAATTTAATATTATTCTTATCTCATTCTACAGTACACAGGTTAAATTTAGCTCAGACTATCAAATTATTGCATGTTATGGCAGCTTTTCAGAGGTATCCTTGGGCACAGAAGACAAGGTTAGCCTCATCTCAGTTGCACCTTTAGCTGGCTATCTTAGTTAAGCAAGCTTCACTTATTTCCTTTCAGGCAAAAAGAAATAATTTATTATGACAGTTAATCCTCTGCTGAAGTGCAGAAATTATCATTCACAGGAACACCGTATTTAAAAGGCTAAGAACTTGCTATAAACTCTTTTATATTTTTCAGTGCTTGGTGTACCTTGGATTCTTTTGCACACAGTTAAAAATGTTGTTATCGGTGCTAGGAGATGAATCAGGCCAATGCTGCTTAAAAGGGACTATCTTTTCAGAGAAAACACGCATTCTAGTTGCCCAGAGGGGGCATGCAGTTGGATAGACATTAGAGGGACAAATAGGATGCTCTTGTAATCAAGTCAGATGGAATTCATAATGAGGCATATTAGCATTTGCACATACCCTTCATAGGCTTAGTGTCAGCATTAGTTTAATTAAAATACATTTTGAAGAAGGGAAGAGAAGAAAATAAAATTTGCTGAAAACTGTCTGTGTGCACACTCCCACTGAGGTCAGCAGAGATCTATTCATTTATATCGGTTGTGAATCTAGTCTGTTGTGGGTTGGGTTTTGGTTTTTTGTTTGTTTTTCTCCCCCAAATCCAGGAGCCCATAGCAGTGAATTAGCTATTTTCTTTACCCTTAAGAAATGCTTCTCTGCAATGACTTTCCAGGGGACTGGTGGGTTTTGCTTGGTCTGAGTTTCATGTTGTGCTTTTCTAGGCAGCACTCGCATGAAATGGAACATCGTTGAATTGTCACAGGAGGCAGATAAGGTGTCAGCCAGTTGTGCTGACGGGCCTGAAGTCGTGGCTGTGTCTGTCAGGTTGGCACTCGGCTTTGAGGCTGGCAAGGCTGCCTTTCCTCTGAGCACCTGCTTCCTTTGAGACTGCCTTGATATGTTATGGTTTATTTGCTTGAAAACAAGTTCTATGAAAATTCCTCCTAAGGCCAATTTACAGGTGTTTTTTATGCAGAAAAGAGTTTTCTTTTTTTTTTTAATGACAGTATTTTCCTCTAGTGCAAATCTTTCCCCAGTCCATAAGGTTCACTTGTATCCTGCAAATTGAAAACTTGGACACACTACATTAATCTGCTTTTATATGGAGACAGATTCAGGGATAATAGCACCCTAAGTGGTGTTAATGCATAGACAGCTTTTAAAGAAAACTTTTGAAGTATAACAAAGCACTTTTTTTACAAGTTCATAGAASTCAGAATAAAGCCTCTAGATGGCACCAAAAGAACGAGATAGAAATGMCTAACGTTAAAAGAACATTCTGCCAGCTATAGCACATCCATCTTTTTGATATAAACACATCACTTAGAGGATGGGAGATTATTAAAAGAATTATATTTATACCAGTGACAAGGATAGGTCCAGCAAATGCTTATTTCCTGGGAATAGCAAGTGATTTTGCAAGCAATAATGTCACCTCTTAATCTTTGCATGATGCACATTAGGAGGTTAAACATGCCATAGAAAATATTGCAGGACTCTTATTAAATCAAGTTTCTTTTTAGGATATGAAATCCATAACATTTAGGCTATATTTACAAGGGGAGATATAATTTAAGCTCCAAAAGTAAACCTTTCAGATTTAGCAGTCTCTGTAGATTTTCAGCACGCTATTTCTAATATTGAAAGGTCCACACCCTACAGTTTTTATTCATCCTTTGTAGAGGGATATTTCCGTTTTAAATTAATGGGAGGTCTGGGAGCAGAGTGCAGGATCTGACTCTCAGCACAGCCACTGCAAGATTCAATGATGTCAAGACCTGCAAGAAGCTCCTAGTAGCCTTCTATATTAATATTTCATTCCTCATTGGAATGTGCAGTAACTCAGTACTGGCTGTGTCCTTGGATATTAGCTCAAGGTTCATCAAATTGTTATATTTTTAAAAATAGYACATTTGACCTCACATTGTTTCCTTTATGAACATTTGAACCTTGTGTGGGTACAGCAAAGGGCTGTTAAGTTGCAAAAAAAAATCTCATTTTTAAGTAAATATACTTTTTTTTGTTATTGTTTCTCCTCTGTGAAAGTAATATTGTACAACTGATAATCAGATAGGAAAAAGACATAGATATCCTGCCTGCTAATAGCAATAGCAAAAGCCGTACCCATGGCATCCTAAACTCTCCAGAGCCTTGCCCTGTTGC